TTTTTTTAAATATCAAAATTTTTTAATATATAATTATTTTAAATTATTTTATATTTCTAACAATAATGATTCGAACACGAACGAACGCATCACTGTTCATGTTTGATTCGTTTAACTAACCGAACTAAAAAAATTTGTTCTCGTTCGTCTCATTTACTTATCGAACGAATCAAACACGAGTATTTCGAGTCAAAACAAGTCGAGCATGAATAAACAAATATTTGTTTGGTTTGTTCTTATTTGGTTTGTTAACTTAGCGAACAAGCCGAACACGAGCTTCTTAATGAGTCGAACACGAGCTGTTCGCGAACAAAGAGCCGTTTTCACAGCCCTACCTTCTGTAAACATTATCTCCTACAATACTCATCTTATTTAAGAGTTTAAAGCTGAAAAATATATTAAAAACAACATGATGAGTTCTAACCCAACAAAAAGAAAGCAGCATACATGCTGGTCTTTCATATTTCACGATAAGTTATCCTACAATAATCTAATGTAATATGTCCATGACACTTAATGGAAAGTAGTTCAAATTTCTATATGCATTAACTTTTATTTTTATTTTATAATATTAACATTCACACACCTTGGAGGAGCAATAAAAATATAACCTAACACACCCCCTACTAATATTATCCCATAGGCATAGCATTTTGTGAACTAATTTACACGATTATCTGAGATGGAAAGAAACCTACTACTCGTCTCTGACTGACATTTAACTTTTATTTTTATTTTATAATATTAACATTCACACACCTTGGAGGAGCAATAAAAATATAACCTAACACACCCCCTACTAATATTATCCCATAGGCATAGCATTTTGTGAACTAATTTACACGATTATCTGAGATGGAAAGAAACCTACTACTCGTCTCTGACTGACATTTTCACATTGGCACAGCGACTAGTAATCTAAATATCACACTTATTTGGGGTGGTAGAAAAGCATCTACGTGTTCGAATACACTACATTTCCTATCTGTATCATAAGGGGGTGAACTTATCTTCTTTCATGCACAAAAAAGTATCTATAAATAAACTTCATTCTTCATATCATACATTATTATTAAATATTTTATGAGAAAACTTATATTTATCTACCAATAAAA